CATTTTTCTGTTTGTATATCGATAAAGCACTGTATGTTGGCTAAATAAGGCACATTTCATTTATTTCCAAGTACTGTTGATATTGTAAAGCTAGCATATTACATATAACATTAAAGTTATTTTTAAAATTTAACATCTTTGTGGATGAGAAAAATAAAATTCAGTAGATGAATAAACTTGTAACAATTTAGCAGTCTCACAAAGTATAATAAATAGCAAAGTCATGTATTTGAAGTGAATCTTAAAAAAATTCACAATACAAACATTTTTTAAGGGAGCTGTTTTTCTAATTAAGGGAACTCCAAGCATTTTCAGATTCATTCTTACTAGCATTATTTCATTACTGAAAGTTTTTCCTTTTTCTGCCATAAAGTCACAGCTTCCTCTGAGAGTTGTTGACTTAGAAGGGGTTATACGGTAATATCCTGTTATTTCTACTTATCAGATTAATTTAGGACTCACGTTGCACTTTCAAGGTAGACAGAAAGCAAGGCATTACTAGCTTCAAGATTTGACTTTTGATAAATATAAATGCGGAGCAGCTCTCTGCTGATGGTACGTAGTGAATGTGACCCATGACGGGCAGATGGCTGTAGCGATGGAGAGAAAAATTACAGCCAGAACATTCCTGCTTCTGCTCCAGTGGACTCAGAATACATTAACGGGGTCCTCTCTCAGCTTAGTTTTTTCCCTGATGATGGATTAGTGATAAACTCATATGCGAGTTATTCCAACGTTCCTTTGAGACCTTAGCTTTTCATGAATGAAAAGGTCATTTGTAAACGTTCTACATTCTTTCATTCCCCCCCCCCCCCCGCATGGAACCAGATTGCTTTGTGTAATTTTACATTACCATATTTTCTTTGAAATAGTAGCTCATAGTTCACTTTAAATGTCCTAATTATTTGGTTGGTGGTTTGAAGAAACTTGCTGTATAGTCAAGAAGTAAATAATATTTAGTAAAGAGAGAATTTTAAATTGAAATCATCCTATAAACTCCAAGCTCAGACTTTTCATGAGGCTGGAAGTCTCCTTGCTCATTTTGTCCTAAATGACTTTTGATTTAAGGCCAAACTTTGTACCAGATGTGTGGTATTTTATAATAATTACATGGTGCAAGCCTTCAATCATTTTCCACTGAGACCATTCAACATCTGTTTTATCAAAATGGTTTTCCATTTCTTTTTAGGACCACAGATGAATAAGAATATTAAGTGAGACATTGAGTCACACATTTTTTACTATATAATATTAATTTCTCTTGCACTTATCTTTTATAAATGACCACAGACCTCAAGACCTCTTTCAGTGACAAGCATAGCAGAGTTGGTTTCTCCGATATTTGGGGATTAACCTTTTCTTAATGTTCTTTATTCTTTATCCATTTCCTGATCTTTTATAGTTCCAAACGGAGATGAAAATATATCAAGGAAGAGATAAGGGAGTGAATGGGAACTCTATGGCGTGCTCCATTTCCTGTTCCCACTTAGAGATGTTCCTTTATCTATTTACCAACGACTTCACTATTCCTATTTTCCTATTTTCCTTTCTTTTCTTGAAGTGTAGCTGCATTACAATGTTGTGTTAATTTCTGCTATCTAGCAAAATGGTTCTGTTATGCATATATATAAATATATATTCTTTTTCATATTCTTTTCCATGACGGTTTATCACAGGATATTGAATGTAGTACCCTGTTCTATACAGTAGGACCTGTTTATCTGTTCTCTATATAATAGTTTGCATCTGCTAACCCCAGACTCATAGTCCATCCTATCCCGTCTGTGAGTCTATTTCAAGATAAGTTCATTTGTGTCCTGTTTTAGATTCCACATAGTAAGTGATGTCATATGGTGTTTGTCTTCTCTTTCTGACTTACTTCACTTGGTATGATCATCTCTAGGTCCATCCAAGTTGCAACGGCATTGTTTCATTCTTTTTATGGCCAAGTAGTATTCCGTTGTATATCCATGTTGCATCTTCTTTATCCGTTCATCAGTCAATGGACATTATGTTGTGTCCACATCTTGATTTTTGTGAATAGTGCTACTAAGAATATAGAGGCGTATATATCCTTTTGACTTACACTAAAGCTCTTCTTATCTGTGCTAAACAAGGTTCACAGATATTGATTAACAAAGACAATTGTCAGAGGTCATAAACAAAAGAGATGCCGGAACCGTGTAATGGTGTGGAACCCTGGTTCTCTTATACCTGTTAGCATCTCCTACCTTCCGTCAAGGGCAGTTCCAGGACTGCCCTTGGTTTAGGTGATGGGCCAGCCTCTAGCTGTGAACTTAGTAGCTGCTCCCTTCACTCGTTTTATTGAAATAACAAAACACAGGAATCCTTTCCTTTGCTATTCTTGAGCATTTCATTAAAAACTATAGAGGGAAAGGCCTTTATTTTAATTGTTACTGGGCAAAATACCATCTTTACAGAAATGTGTACCCGATCAGGGTACAGTTTCTGTGTACGGCTGCTCCACCTGCCTCCTAGCCTTGTAACTGGCTGCTCTTAGAGTAAAAACAGAGTTAGAGCAGCTCTTCAAAGCTTTGTGCTTTCACACTGATGTTAGTTCAGTAGTCTGCTTTCTGGGCCAACGTAGACATAACCAACCATAAAAATAAACATGTGCACATCCATGGCCCAAAATAAATCAAAGTGGACATAATGGAAATTTTCCAGTGAGCTTAGAAGAAAATTTAATATACTTCACCTCTTCAGGGGGGCATGAGGGAGTTGGTTTGGTTTTCATCGGAATTTTTATGTGGGTATAACTTGCTGTTTGCTAGGATTTTCTTATCCCGCAATTATGGTGAACCTTTAAAGAAGTAGGAGAGAAATCACATCGATAAATTTTGGTAGGCTGAATGAGTGAGTGTTTCATAAGACAACTCAAATTTTGTGAACTGTATAATACTTGAATATCATTTTAAAGCATAAAACTTATTTAAGATATAACGTCTTCTTCAGTGGAAGGATTTTTTTAGTCATTTCTCTGACAAAGTCAACTTGAGAAGGAAAGAAAAGATAAAACTATGATGGAAATGTGTTTAGATAGCAGAGCTGGTTTTTTTCTTAGATATCTTTGTTCACAGTTTAATTAGCTCAAAACATTTTTAGATTCTTTCTTTGGTCACTTACATATTTTGTGGCTAAAATAGGACTGAAGTGTCAGCCCGAGCATTTCCAAAGCTAGGCTGTTCAATATTCCTATCATTCAGATAGAGTTTGGCAAAGACGGCAGTTCAGTCAAGTGAAATGTACTTAGAAGTCCTTAGGTTGATCAGTCAAGAAAAAGATTTCTCCAGAAAGATACTATTACAAGGCCGCAGTGACTATCCTTTCATAGTTCAAACAAACAGAGCATAAGTAATTATTTTGAAATATAATGATGGTACAGCTGTAACAATAAAAAGGTCTGTAATAAATAAAAGATTGTGCATCTGTTTTAGAAGACTTCTGACGTCTCTTCCTTGTAACTTGCCACAGGCATGATGCCCTTAACTTTGAGTATAAATACAAGAATAGCATATACCCCAGATTATGTGTCGTGTTGAAGAATTTTAGGCAGTTACAGGCATACTATCTGATGACTGGGAGAGTAAAAGAGGGTTGAGACATCAGATTAAGTTAAGTTTAAATAGTATCTGTTCTTCAGAGAAGATTACTTTTCATCCACTTTTCTAGAAGTGGTAGTAGGTCTTTGCTAAGACAGGCATGTTCTGACCCCCATGGGACCATAGGATACCTTTGCAAAGCAGGATGCAGTTTAATAGCAGGTTCTTTCTGTATTGCGATTATTTTCCTCATTTGGTAATAAAAATTTCAGCTTATCACTGTGCATCAGAAGTTGCCAATTCATTTTGCAGTCACCATCAGCCTGATGTTTTTAAAACCCTAAAATTTTGCTTCCCTGTCTAGTTCAGTAAAATATGAATAGCCAGAACTCTTCCATTATTCGGCGCAGTAAGATGTCATGAGGCCGATTAAAGTTCTTAATAGTTTTTGAGTGTGTAACCTAAAAGCGAAAATCTATGGGTGGTGAGCAAAGAGTATTCAATCTACATCTTTCCCAAGGTCAGAAATATTATTTTGGAATATGAAAAACTACACCTGCAAAGTGAAGTCATTCATCACTTTAAGAAAAATAAATTTGAGTTTTTAATAGAAGCCAAATGAACTCAGACATGTAAGCCATCAATAAAGCTTGCCAGAATTTGAAGAGAATATCACGATGCAACTCTTTTTATGGATCAAGTACAAATGGAGCTGACAGTGTATGCCTAATCAGAGCGTGGAGAACTGGAAGCTGCAGAGACAGTATTTTCACTTTCTCGTGTTGACACCTCGTGTGCTCAGGCAGTGCAGTTGGGCTGATTAAAAATGTCAAGTCTGTGCTCGCGTGAAGCGCGTGCCTCCTAAAGAATTCTGAGTTCTAGAGACCCCAAACCGCAGCGTGTCGATAAAGCATGTTTATTAATTACTGTGTTCTATTATACTGCATTCAAACAAGATGACACTTAGGAAATCCCATCAGCGTAAGCCTGTTGTGGGTATAAAGCCCCCATCAAGGGAGCCTGAGGCGTGTAACCACGTGCCGTGGGCTGAGGACAAGCGCAAGGTGAAGGCGCCTCATCCCTGACTGTCCTTGAACGTCTCCAACCTCAGGGCTCACGCTTTGCCATGGAAGGCAGGTCTCTTCCTAAATGGATTAGGGGGTGTCAGGAAGGCAGCTGAAAGGTGCTTTAAGGTGACACTCTGGTCTCGAACTTCTGGCCTGGCTTTTTGGTAGATGTTTGCGGAATCAAGGGGCTTCCAAAAGTGGCTCAGTGGTAAAGAATCAGCCTGCCAGTGCAGGAGATGCATGTTCCATCCCTGGATCGGGAAGATCCCCTGGAGAAGGAAATGGCAACCCACTCCAGTATTCTTGCCTGGAGAATCCCATGGACAGAGGAGCCTATCAGGTTAAGTTCAAGAGGTCACAAAGAGTCGGACACAACTTAGTCACTAAACAACAATGAAGAATCAAACCCAGCAGCCAGCCCTGAAAAAGGTGATGGGCATATTCCTCACTACTTCCCATCAAAAAGGGTCCCTCTGCCTGCATTCCCCTCTGACGTCACCTGGCCCCCCATAAGGTAAAACTGGCCCCCAGTCGCCCTCCTGGAGCCTTCCCCAGTCTTCCTCCCACACCTCACTTGGTTCCCTGGAGTGTCTCCTTTTATGCTCAGACTTGAGGTTGAATAGTTAAGGTGTCAGGAGCAGACCCAGCATCCTCACCTCCCTCCTCACCCTCCCCTTGGATCTTCATGTTTCTGGAAGTCACGTGATTAGCAGGGATACAGTGAAAGCATGTTGAGTTCATGGTACCATGCAGGACACCTAATGTGATGGCAAAGGAAAAAGCACCCCCCCCACACGCACACACAAGGAACTTGACACATGCCAGAGGTGGAAGCTGTCCTAGGTCGTGATTATCGCTCCTCAGTTTCTTCACCTGTAAACATTTTCAAATCTTTAATAAGGACCACTCTTACTCTTAAAGTGATGCTTTCATGGTTACTTGCTCTTGTTTTCTGAATATCAGATGCTCTGTAACTTCCTTAAGAGCCTGTGGAAGCAAGAATGTCAGATGGTGTTTCAATATTAAAAAGTAAATTTGCAAAAGCACGTTTTAATTTTTGCCTCCATTTTCACTAATAAAAATAGACTGAAATGATGTTTGATTAATTACGTTTCAGATCTTTAATTCCCATTCTGTACGTGACAAGATTTGCCATTATTAAAATTTTAGGACAAAGGAAGGCAATGAAACAAACTTATATATACAGTGCGAAGCAAAAGAACAGTCACCTTTACATCAAGAATGCTGTTTGCTTTCATTCCATTTATACTGATTAGAATTATAAAGAGGTGATTTGAAGAACTTTCTGGCCACTGTGTAACTGTAAAATAAGAGGATTGGTTTTTGACGTGTGGCGTCTGGAAGTCAGTTTTATTGCTTTATACTCATTCCCTGAATATTTCAATCTAGTTCTGGTGGGCAGAGTTCAAACATAAAAACCAATCTCACATGAAATAAATTCAATAATATAAGAAGGAATAAACTTTTGTTTATCAATTTAGAAAACTAATGTTTTTACTTCTAGGTGGGGTCTTAGCCATTTAGGTTGAATTTTAATACAGCCAAGATCTACTCATTTAAAGATAAATAGATATCCTCAGGGTCAGCTCCCTCATTTCACAGCAACTAAATTTATCAAAATATGTCAAAATAATGTATTATAGGTAAGAGTGACCCTCGAAACCTCCATGAAGAAAAGCTAGTAGTAAGTAGTTCCGATCTTTTAAATAATGTCATTCCAACAGGAAAGGAAATGTCACATTGTTACTTTTTATGACATTGTAACCTGAATGACATGGGTGTTGGGACCTGGGACCTTAAGCCTTTGTTGAGTGAATGAGGGAGTGAATGTTGTTATATACTGACCTTCAATAAGAAGAAAAACTTGGGGCTGAACATATTAAAGCTATAAAGAATGACTCTGAATTTTAAAAGTCTCAATAATGAAATTGACATTTGTTCAAAATATATTGCATCATTTAAAAAAAGACATCCCATTAGATCGTTAGCAAATGACCTGGTTTTCCTTAATACCTTTGCTAAGGTAATTCAGTCTTCAGTCCCAGATCCTCCTTGTATACACTAATAATACTATGTATAAAATTGATAACTAATAAGAACCTACTGTGTAGCACTGGGAACTCCACTCAATGCTCCGTGGTAAACTAAATGGGCAGGAAATCCGAAAAGGGGGATGTATGTAAACATATAGCTGATTCACTTTGCTGGTACAGCAAAATAACACAACATGATCAAGCAACTACACTCCAATTAAAAATTAATTAAAAAATATTATTAGCAAGCACTGGAATGGCAATGCCAAAGCATTAAAAATCCCTTTCAGAATTGATGTACACAAAATTGTTACAAGTAATCTTGACATTTTTTTCAAGCATTTTTAGCAAACTCCTGCCCATTTTTATAAACCTGAACTACTGAGTACAAATGTGCCTTTCATTTCTTTCTTCAGAGATGAGCTCACCTTGAATGTTGGCTCTCTATCTTTTTAAGAGTCATCTAGAAGTATAATCATAAACTCACCATGGGAAAAAAAACAACCAGGGCAGTAAGCTAATACCCCGGTGTGCAGTGGGAGAGATATTGACCAGAGAGTTTCTTTTTTCAGATCCTCTTGTTAGTAAATCATTAAGAATAGAGATAAGTATTAACTTAGTTGTATTTAAATCTTTTCTCCCAGATTCCTCAAAAAAAAAAAAAAGACACCGATTTATCAACCATTCCTCCCTGAACTCCTTGCATGCAAATGCCTTAATAGACATTTCCTTCTGTGACAATAAAAGCTAAATGAAATGCAGGCAGAAATATATTGAATTCCTGGAAAATGGGGTAAGGGTTGGAAAACTGACTGACTGGAAAGATCATGTTCTTCCAGAGAAAACCTTAGGATCAATTGCAAATATTTATTTTCTGTGGACTAGCCTGGTGCTGGTGGTTTAGTCATTCAGTTGTGTCTGACTGTTTGTGACCCCGTGGACTGTAGCCCGCCAGGCTCCTCTGTCCATGGGATTCTCCAGGCAAGAATACCGGAGTGGGTTGCCATTTCCTCCTGCAGGCGATCTTCTGGACCCAGGGATAAAGCCCGTGACTCTGTTATTGCAGGTGGATTCTTTACCAACTTAGCCACCAGGGAAGCCCTTCTGTGAACTGAAAGGGCTCCGATCTTGAAAAGGAGGAAATAAAAAGAATTCTTGACTCGAGTGTGCTACAGATGTGGGACAGCAAGGAATTGGAGATAAGGCCACGAGCTATGGGTTGGTTAGCATCACCAAACACTATGGCTCTTTTTTAAAAATCAAACTGAACTTGCCCAGTTGAAAAGTCTAAAATAGAAAGTCATCTTTTATATTGCACTCTTTTCCCATTAAAGTTCAGTGGATTCAGTGTGGGTGAAATAGAATTTATGCATCCATTCAGGAAGCATTCTTCTTCAGGAAACCAGGTCTTATGGCCAGTGTTATTCATGATGAAATACTCACCAGAGGATCACTTGAGATGGTCTGTGGGTCTTTCAGCAACCTCTTTCCTGTTAAGTTAGCAGAATGGGCATTATTTAAAGATGGGAAACCTCAGGCTTGGTTTCCCAGATAACCGGGGCCAGTCAAGGATTCAGATAACCATGGCGGGCAAAGGTTTCAAATTACTTGCTTCGTCTGTGCTATGACACTCTGACAAATGAGGTAAACACCCCAGATGAGGGAAAGAATAACTGAAGAGTCAGGGCAAATACATGCGACTCCTAGCGACATCCACTTTCAGCATTGCAGGGAGGTTTCTAGAGACCCTTTCTCATCAGGGAAGGGCCACGCCAGATTGCCCCAGTGGACATTTTTGGTCTTGCCTCCCAGCCACAAAGCAGGTGTTTATCTGATTGGGGCAGCTGGCATCTCTCTGGCAGCAGGGTCCTAGGAAGATAAAATGCCATAACTCTGTTATATCACAATTTCTATGAGAAATACAGTTCCTATTCCAGTTTGAGTTACAAGGTGGCATGTTTCCTTTCATCCCAGCAGCCTGAGCAAAGGCCCCCTGGTCTCATATTAAGTGAACTAGCCCCATGAGCTCTGATGCAGTTTTCGCTTCTGGGCACAGACCCAGTGCCAGAGCTGGGTGTTCCCCAACACAGATAATGGCACCCTTCCCACAGTTGCACGGCTGTGGGCTCTCCCCCCACCCTCCTCCCGCCACTTCTAGTCCTTCAGGACTGGATGATAAGGGCCCTACACCTTATGTCCACTCCTGTGGGTTATTTGTCCGATAGACGTTAACCTGCAGAGAGCTTGTTTGTCTTATATACTTAAATCCATCCTGAGGACCATACCTTAGTGATATGAGCACACCAAAAAAGCACATTTTCTTTGGGTATTGCTGCTGCTAAGTCACTTCAGTCATGTCCAACTCTTACGACCCCCATGGCCTGCAGCCTACCAGGCTCCTCCATCCATGGGATTTTCCAGGCAAGAGTACTGGAGTGGGGTGCCATTGCCTTCTCCCCTGGGTATTGGCAGGTCTTCAAAAAAGTCTGTATGATTACCATATTGCAAGGGTATGCTAAGTTGCTTCAGTCGAGTACAACTCTTTGCAACCCCATGGACTGCAGCCCACTAGGCCCCTCCGTCCATGGGATTCTCCAGGCAAGAATACTGGAGTGGGTTGCCATGCCCTCCTCCAGGGGATCTTCCTGATCCAGGGATCAAACTTGTGTCTCTAACATCTCCTGCATTGGCAGGCAGGTTCTTTACCACTCGCACCACGTGGGAGGCCCATGATTACTGGATTACATTTTATAATTTTAAGTTCACAAGGATCATGTCCTTCTATTCAAAATCCCGACAAAACAAAAACAATGTCTAATACAGAACATGAAAGATATGCTGGGGAAATGTCAGTAATAAAGACGACGATTATGATGATGTAGTCATGTGTATAATCACTCATCAGGCGACACTCTGATTTTCTTGTTCTGGAAATGGTATAGCACACTCAGAAAGACTTTTAACCCCGCAGTGTGTGTAGTCTTGACAGTTCTCATATCTGGATGTCACAGTAGGTATGAGAGAAGGCCATGGAACCTTAAGATGCAAGAGTCAGCTTCCCCTCTGTCTTTAGAGAAGCACAGTAATTCTCTTTGCTGGGCCTCGCTAATGATTCATTCTCAGCTAATTTTTTTTAATGGTGTTTTTTTTTTCCCCATGTAAAATAATTTTGTGATTCTGCAGTTACAACACATTGCTATAATTAATGGGACTTGCTTTCTACTTGGATGCTCAAGAAGCCTCAATGCCACATGGAAATTAAGAAGCGGTGAGGCGGGGCTAACAGCAGAGCAAGGACAAAGATGAGAAATTGTCTTCAAACTGAGGACTACAAACGGCGAGCACATGAACAAAAAGAAAAAAAAGAAAAGTTTTTTCCCAGGTTATGGAAATATTTGGGCAGAAGCGTCGCCCTTTAGTTTTGATTTACCATATTGCATTGCTAATGGGAGAGATGAAAGCATTTTTTTTTTCTTTCCTTTTTTTTGACTTAAGTATATTTTGAATATTTTCTCCTTTTTTTCCCCTCAAGATGCATTCTCCTTGTCCATTAATGTGCATGGGAGAAGCATTTGTTATCATTTTTCATTATTTGACTCACGTTTCTTCCCCTGTCATTGCTTCAGTGTGCTTTAAGGGAGGTCTCGGAGAGAGTTCAAACCAGGCATTACCCTGCTGTGACACCCCATCAGCTGTGATGGTTTGATACGTGGACTTATCCCTAAGCCCTGCCCAGTGGTCAAGGGCAGTTATCTAAAGCCTGTCCCTGATAGCTCTCTTCACTTCTGAGCTTTGAGATGGCTTGAACTTGTCTCTTGGTGGTAACTAGCAAGAGAATGCTTTTTGCATGCCTTCTTGCTTTTAAGATACTTCCTGAAGGGCTTTGGATGACAAGTGTTTCCTGTCGAGTATCTGAAGCTGCTGGTTGTGTTCAAAGCCTTCACTGTTCCTCCTGGGATCACAAGAGAGAACCTGGGAGAGTCTCAGAAGCAGGATCTGACAACTAGGAGGTTGTTGGAGAGGCACTGATTCTTTAGACTTGTTTGCAGAAAACGGGCTCAAGTGCAGTTAAAAATGCAAACTCCTGGGCTCCCAACCTCAGATATTCCCACATGGTAAATCTGGAGAGAGGCCCAAGTATGTGCATTTTTAAATGAGGGTTTCAGATGAGTCTAATTCAAGTACTCTGGGGTGCTTGGCTTAGCTGTTGGGGTAGAGGACGTACCAGGGAGCTGTCTCTTCTCCTAAACTGAGATTCCAAGAGAAGATGTCATCCCTTGGGTGTGTTTGCTCATAGGCTGGCGATGTAGTTCAGAAAACAGTGAAGATTCCCTGTGAACATGGCATCGTGTGCTTACACTTTCATCTCCACCCTGTCCGCACACAGACATCCCCTCCCTCCCTCCTTGGTTCTAAATACCAAAGCTGATAGATAAGATATTAAAGTAATAGAAAAAAAACAAGATAAATATCTCTGTGGCTGAAAAATGAAACAGAAATATACCGGTTAAGTGAAGCGGAAGTGAGGACCTACTGAAGTTTGGTAGGAAAGCAGTCAGGAGCAGGCAGGAATCTGTCTCCGGCTGGATGCCCAGGGCTAACAGTGATCCATCAAAGGCTTGGACCTGAGCCAGTCTCTGAGCTTGAAACTAGGGACTGCAGAGTAGCAAAAGGAAGCTGGGGAAAAAGTTCTCCCTAGAAAACTGAGTATGGGACATGGTCGGATGAAGCAGACTCAGCCTGCTAGCCAAGACCTGAGCCCGCATGCTCCCTGACTTGGAGTTTGGATGTGTAATATTCCCAGCTTTGTGACAGAACAAGAGCTCCTAGCTACTGATCTGATTCTGGACTGGGCTTATGGGGGGCTGGGTGAAGGCAGCAAAACACTTCAAAACAGGGAGATATGAATGAAGAAAGAATATATATGGAATACTATTCAAAATGAATATGCAAATCAAAATCCAAAAATAGATAAGTAACATTAATGCTAAGCAAGTCAGTAAAAACAGTGTTTGGGAGATGAATTTACTGCACCTGAAGTAAAAATAATTAGTTTTAAATAAGCATGTTAGTTATCCTCAAAGTGATGAGGAAGGGATAGCATTCGTAAAGAATAAGAAACTATGAAAACAAATTCGACAGAGGAGAGCAAAGTATGTGGAAAAAGTACTGTTAAAAATTCTGAAAAGTATGGTCCAAAAAAACATAATAAGTAAATCTCTAAATTCAACATAGTTGGAGAAAAATAGGGGACTGGAAGTTAGGCTTAAGAAATTCAAAGAGAGAATAAAGAAATAGAGATTGAAAAAAATATGAATGAACAAATAAAAAATATGGAGAATAAAATAATTGCCTACAACTTACAGGTTTGGAGAATATCAGAAAGAGAAAGAAATAGAGAAAAGCAGCCTTCAAAGGGATTAGAACTAAGGATTTTCCAGAACTGAAGGATGACATGTGCAGAACAGGGGAAAAGATACTTTTGCCAAGAAAATTTGAAATGTTAAGAATAGAGAGAAAAATGCTAAAGTAACCTAAGAGAACAGATTACCTCCAGAGAATCACCTCTCAAACAGAAGTCTTCTAAGAGTATAAACAGAAAACAGAAGATTTTTTTTTTCAAAATGCTTTTGATGTGCAGAGGAAAAATAAGTGATTTCTATTCCCAACTAAACTGTCATTCAGTGTTTCATTTAAGCTCCTAATGGAAGGAGGTAAATAATCACTCATTTAATAAACACTTTGAAGTGTAGATCCAAGACAGTTTCTGTCCTTGGAGGAGCTTTCAACCAACATGAGGACTCAATCCTGTCAACACTAATTATAGTAAATCTCTTAAATCAAGAGGCCATAATATCAATGAGAACATAACTTAATCCAGTAGCACAAAATTGTCCTAAGTTTGGAATATATTGGCATAGTGAGACAGTTATAGAAGTTCATATAGAAGTTCATATGATCATATATGTAAGATCATAGTTGAAGATTATGTTCATTATCTTATATAATATATTCCTTCGTGAGTTTAGTTCCTGGAAAAATTTATTCTTGCCAATAAATTTGATTTCTTCTTTCAGCAAGTGGAAACTATGTAACTTAACATTTTCATTTATGTTATAGTTGCTAAGAAACTACAGTCAAATTTTTGTGCCTATTTGTGGTGATTGGACTTTTTTTGATATCAGATCAGACCAAACCGGGGTTTATTTCCCTAATAGTTCATGGTCTCTGCTCCTGGTTGTTCTGTCAAAATTTATCCCTATTATGGATGTTGCTTAATTTTGTAAAGTCCTTGAAAACTGTTCAGAAATGTATACCAACATTAATTTCTTTTAAAAGAATAGTTAAGTGAAATCAACCATTTTTATAACCAATATGGAAAAATACTATGGTTTAAGAAAAATTAGTTTTTTTAACAATCTAGTTATTTTATGATGTGTCTGCATGAGAAAAGACAAATGAGCTTTCTTTTTTAAAAGCATGAACTACATTTCCAAAATCTACCTTAGCCCTTTGGGTTTGAAGTAACTCTTTAAAATAGGAATTCTGATTCTGCACTTGCCTAGAAATGTGGTTCACTCAGAACATGTATAATACTGAACTAACCTGAAGAAATGTGCAAAATAAATCCTTATAAAATTTCCCAGAGAATTATTATTATGGGACTGTGTAAACACTTTGCTGTTGGAACTTCCCTGGCGTCCAGTAGTTAAGACTCTGCACTTTCAATTCAGGGCGCACAGGTTCTATCCCTAGCTGAGGAGATAAGATCCCACATGCAGTGCAGTGAGATAAATAGATTAAAAAAAAACTTTGCTGTTTACATCATATATGAAATAATTGTTCAGAATACACATAGATAGAAACCAAAATCACTTAGAAGAGAGAAAGGTACAAAATAGATATCCGCTTTGCATTTATTTTTTAAAAATTTACTATTACTATAACTGAAAGATTAAAACAATTTTCACCTTTCCAGTGATTTCGTTTGTGCCATTTCACTAGATCTCAACCTTTGATGTTGGCTAAACCAGTGGATAATTTTCTTGTTTTGAATACTAATTGGTGGCACACTATTTCATTGACATACTATTTCAAAATATTTAAATATCTGTTAAGTCCATTTTTTCCATAAGCCTATGGATTTCAGCTGGATCTTTCACAGGAGAGAGAAGGAAGGCCAACTTTTCCTTGCTACACATAGATAGAAACCAAAATCACTTAGAAGAGAGAAAGGTACAAAATAGATATCCGCTTTGCATTTATTTTTTAAAAATTTACTATTACTATAACTGAAAGATTAAAACAATTTTCAGCTTTCCAGTGATTTTGTTTGTGCCATTTCACTAGATCTCAACCTTTGATGTTGGCTAAACCAGTGGATAATTTTCTTGTTTTGAATACTAATTGGTGGCACACTATTTCATTGACATACTATTTCAAAATATTTAAATATCTGTTAAGTCCATTTTTTCCATAAGCCTATGGATTTCAGCTGGATCTTTCACAGGAGAGAGAAGGAAGGCCAACTTTTCCTTGCTTCTGTAACTGTATTTTCTGACCAGAAAGATTTTCAAGCCTCATGGCATATTTGAATGGTCTCATCATTCTGTCACTGTTGTCTTTGATTCCAAAAGAAAATGTAGCATTTCAAATGTCGGAAATGTGCTATAGATTTTTTGGCAGCAGAAGGGAAGTCAGTTTAACTTTCGTGTCTTTAAGAAATATATAATGTTATAACCAAAATTAGTACTCTGAAATTAGTTTGCTCTGAAATTGGAAAGAACTAATATACATCTATTATGTTATACATGAACCCTTTGACTGGGAGCCAGGTTTGAACATTTCTTTTTACTAGAAATCGACTTTCATATATTCATTTATTCACTTGGCATGAAAAGAGAAACAGGCAAAGATGGAGCAAAGAAGTTGCATATAGAAATGTTAAGTTAATATAAAGTAAGGTTCATTAGCAGAGAGGTATCATTTACCTGTTTGCATATATGACAGTGAATAAACAGCTGTGTGCAAGTATTTTAATTATCCTAAGTTGCCAATCTATCTCAAAACAGAAAAACTTAAAATATATCAACATAAAATAAATGCTTATTAAAATTTTAAACAATGATCTCGAAGTGAAAATTGACCTAATTTAAATATAGATTTTTTTTAGTCGTGATCTGATATGCTTTTTTTTTTCTTATTCACATCATAAAGTGCACTTATACTAAGCTACTTATAGTCATTTAAAAGGAGTTGTTTGGCATGCTTGTCATCCTGAGACACCTTATAATAAATCCAATCCCCACCTCCCCAACATACCATATGTTTAATTAATTAAAAATAAAACTTTTAACCAACTTGTAAAAGCACCAAGAAATTGTCTCAAGTAAAAAGCACCTGGAGCCTATATTTTAGAATCCCTACGGTTAGTTGCTATAATATTGGTGAAAATTTGAATATTATAGGAAATAAGTAGTCTTAATGCACACCCCAGGAGAAATTGCTTTTCTCTCACTGGTGTCTCTTTTCAAATATCTATAATGCCTTTTTATTTTCAACAGCTGCTTAATATGTTACATAAGTTAAAGTATGGTGAAGCTTAGTCATATAAAACCTTTTGAGACATCAAGAAATGTGATATTTCTGACCAGCTGCAAAAATGGTAACTTCTTAGGAAAATAAAAAAAATGAGCATCATAAAACAAAAAGTAGGCAGGGAGCATATTAATCTTTTCCTTCCTTGTATTTTCTCTCTCATATTGCTTTCTGTCTTTTAAACCTCTAACAGAGCTCTAACCTTTAAAAGTTCTTCGAATCAAGCAATTTTTCATGATCTGCTGTCTCCTGATTGTTTTTATTTCAGTTTAACATTTCTTCTGATACACTACATTTTTTCAAGGTATTTATGAGATTTTATTCCTGAGTTCAGCTGAGGTTAATAACTCATGACTTAAATCAGGTCATATGCATGTGACTTTTCTGAGGGTCGCAAGTGATTTCCCAACGTAACTGTAATAATATTATTCCTCGATAGAATTTGTTTTAAGATAATAAATCTGTCTATACAGTTATACAAACCATACCCTAATAAGTGGTCTTACCTATTAATGACATGGAAATGATCTTACTGATCGAAAAAACAATCTAAGCCTGCAATGCATGGTCTTTTCCGGTGTCTTACAGAGTCTTTACAGCAGCTTTACAAATTCTCACAGTAATGTCTACATTACTGTCTGCGTCCTTTCTGTGTCTTCATCCTGATTGTGTCACTCAGTATGTTGTGAGTAAATATGAATAACAAAATACTTAATTCTAAGGTAGTGAATATCCATTTCCAATCTAATATGCAGAGTGGAAAACAATAATAGGGAATAAATCTTCAATTTTGTTTCTCATTGATCTGTGCTATGTAAGATTTGAATGTTTATTAGTTTCTCAATAATCAAATATAAGAATCATTATCACCAATGCAAAAAATTATCCAACCCTGTTACTTTTTGAACAATATACCCCTATCTTGCATATTCTTTTACATTTTGCTTGCATTCATATTTTATGGGTTGCTAACATCAACGTGTAGAACAATGATAGAAAAAGTATTCATAAAATATTGTCTCCTATAGCTAAAATAGTCAATGCCAGAAATGACTTATTACCCAATAAAAGCTTAAAAATCACTTTGAGGGGGGAAATAAGTATTACATTGGCATATTCAAGTGTCAAGAAGTAAAGACAAAAATAAGTATCAGGACAAAAAAAAGATTTATATTTTTCTAAATGATAGTTATATTTCATGTGAATTTGGCAGAGTTAAAAATCCATGTTCTTAGGACAGAGCCAAAAACAAAAAAGAGAAAAAGCCAAGAAGAGTCCATCATTTTGATGATTTATGTTTCTAACATACTCTTCAAAAATATTGATGATCAAGGACATTTTTCATGTTTTAACTAAATGTTTGGTATCTACACATCTCTCCAAAAGGAAGATTTATATTTCAAAATTTGAATTTATACATAAAGACATGTTACAGGTATATGGTTTTTTAATATCCCTAATTTTGAAAAAAAAAACTCTAATTTGGCCTTAAATTAAAATATAAAATGAATTATTATTATATTATTATTTCCAAAGTATTTATCTCTGTAGGTGCTCTATGATTTGCCTTGGGAACAAATGTTTTTGAAAATATTGGGGAACAAAGAAAATCAGGCCAGAAAAGTAGAATATTTCAACCGAAAGGTATAGTGTGTCGGATTGCAGTGGACAGCGATGTTGCTGGAGAAGCCGGACAGTCCTGTTAGGTATGGCTTCACTTTTATTTTCAGATAACAAGTCAAGAAAACAAGTCAGAAATAGAGAACGCATAGAGCAGGCTCTCCAGGAGCAACGTCTGTTTAACTGTAGAATTCATAATGTGCTTTACTTATTTGGAAAGAGGGTTTCTGGGTCTGCTAGGGGTTCACAGACACAGAACTGGGACCCGTAGGGAGATTCAGGAACCAGGGACGTAAGAACTGAAAGGAGGAAATCTGAGACAAGCCCTTAGAGTGATGTGACTGGCCCCTCTCTTCTGAATCACATCCTGCCTTTGGGGTTATGCACGAAAGTCACAGGAGATTATATATAGAAGACATAGAAGTCACACGGAGATTATATATAGAATAGTTTTGGAGAATTAATCTTCAGATCAATGCTGACAATTCTGAGTTGCCAGGACCTTCTGTTTATTTATTCATTTAAAGATTTTAATTATTAATCACCATAACAAGTGCTTCCTGAGTGTATTATGCTGGCTCTTTGCTAAATGTACTTTACTCATGATCTTATTTAACTTTTTATATAAACCCTATAAAGTAAATCCTATTATTATCCCCATTTTTCAGATGAGGAAACTGAGGTTAAGAAAAGTTAAGAAATG